GATCTTTCTGCTTGTCTCCCAGAGGAGGTGAATAACAAGCTCTCTTTTCTTTGCCTTCCTCTCATTTTACAGCCATCTCCCTTCCTGTGACAAACGACATGAATAAAGGGGACACTAAGGTAAGGATGGGCCTGTAGTGGAAGGGGAGAGTGAAGTTGAAGGATGTGCTGTTTAACCTCCATCTAACTACCTAGCTTTTGGGTCCCCCTGCTGAAATGTCCTGTAGGAAGTGTCAAGGATTTTCATGAGATCCCTACAGCAGGATCCATCCACCTCCACTTCCTTCCTACAAGGCTTTACCCTTTGGGCATCCACTTCTGGGCACCTGGGGAGGAGGGAAGTCCCTCAGGATGTACCAGAGGAATCAAACAAGCTTGTCTAGAGAATGGTGAGGCTGGGGGTGGAGGCTGTATAACCCTCCTCCGTCCTCCTACTTTAGCTTTTCAAAGCTCCCATCAGGAGGTGACTCAGGGGAGAGTGGGGGGAGATGTGATTCAGGAACAGGCATTGCTGGAACTGTGCTTGTTTGAGGGTGTGTATACATCTGTGTTTGTGTGTGTGTGGTCTGTTACTTAAACATGCATGTTCCTGAAAAGTAGGCAACTGACTGCTCTCGGATTGTTAATCTGTCCTCGGCTACCGCTCAGCCTGAATAGCGGTCAGCAGAGCGGGACTTGGCTGACCTCTCCAGCCTGCTTTTATAGGCTTCTGTGCATACATCTGTGTCGTACCTCTCTGGCATCCATAGCTGCACTTCGCAAATGTGTGCACTCCCAAAGGGCTTTTGACACAGACATGCTTGGATGGGTGAGTTTGCCAGTGTTGATCTGTGACAGACTTCCCCGTCCTGATACTGTAAATGCCTATCTATCGTCTTTCAGAAAAGCTGATCTCTTAATTGTTCAAATTAAGACTTCTACAGAAACTAATGCCCGGAAAGGAAACAGTAGCCCTTTCCTCCCTACTTCTTGAAATGCTTTGTTTCCTGAAATCTTCTAGCCACGTAATGTTTGCCCCAGGCAGCAGTAGAGGAGGGCATGTTCGTGTCACTGTCAGCCACAGGCTCCATTGTACAGTGTCTCCACTCGTGTTACCTACAGGGCAGGCGTCATGGGAAATGCCTCCCCGTCTCCTCTCAGGTGTGCCGGGGCCTGGCAAGCTGCTGCTTTTTTAAGACTTTTAGCCTGCTTAGCCCTTGCTGGGGCTGAGCCACGAGCTGTGAGCCACTGGGTGCCTGCTTCAGGGTGCGTGCTGCTAACTGAGAAAGGCGACTCTGGGCAGGCACCTGCCCTTTCAACTGTCCATACCAGAGTAGGATGCTCATGGGGCATCTGGTGGGACAATCCATTAATTCCACAATTCTCCTTGTGAGTTCTATTTCCCAATATGTTCTATGTGTAAAACATGGCACTTCCCAGCAAGCCACATTTAACTTTTGTGGAAGTTGGTGCAACTCCATAGGAATGTTTCCACCAAGGGAAGATTGTTTCCCAAGCCTGTCCCCTCCCTGTCTACTGCACTGATACAGGTCTAGATGAGACTAAAATCAGATCACACTCTTCTGTTGACTTTTCATGCAACTGGAAAGAGCCATTAGGGTTTTTCCGCCTTCACTGCCTTCTGAGACACAGCATTTAAGTGAAGGAAGTTCTGGTCTCACAGGACATATCAGGGCAGGGATATCAGGGATATCATCACATGGGTACAGCAGTGAGCACTGCAGCTCTTCCTACACACCATGCTCTGTGCCACCAGCACAGAGCTGGTGTGGGTGACTTGGAGCTGTGAAATGGGTAGTCAGGACATGCAGGCCTTTCCTGGGAAGCTCATCAGACTTTCATTACACCAAGGGCTTTCCATGGGGAGCTGAACACAACCAAAACATTTACAATGTCTCTGGTGTTTGCCCACTCTTGTGCTTGAAGGACACTATTTCCCCCTTAAAACCATATATTTCAGAAAGGCTTGGGCATAGCTAAGCTCAAACATGGTGAAGTCTATTCCTGTAAGGACATGATCCTTTGGAGATTTCCGTGTAGAGACAGCACAAGCAGCTCTTAAGGATCTACTTACATGCTCACAGTTAGAGGATAGCTGTGGCAAAATTCCAGTCTGAGTTTCTGCACTGGATTAATTACGCTTATTTGGAAAGGATCTCCTCCATTTCCTGATGCAGGCTGTTATTTCATGACCTTGTGGAGCCTCACTCTGCAAGACTTGCTCTTACAAAAAGTCAAGGAGAGTGTGGTGGAATGACTGCACTCTTCGTTTCATTATGTTACAAAGCTCCTCCACAGAGTTGGCTGTAATTCTGTGGTGACTGAGAAGTTTCTTTGTGTAGCAACAAAGACCTTAAATCAGCTTCGAAGTCTTCAAAAGGCTTGTATAGAGTGTTTCGTTGGACCAGGTTCTTATTTCTCAGGCTGAGAAAGTCCTCGCTTCTGAAGTTTCATCAAATACTGTTTCAATAAGTGGCTCAAGAGATTGGGAAATGTATCACAAAAATACCAGAATCTGGGGTTTGTTCTATTTAATGTCATCTATTTAGTCATCTAAAATCAATAGTATTGGATTGCTTGTGGTATAGGAGAAAGATACCAGGGAAATTTCCCTGCTTTCTTTTTGTTAGATCTTTCCTGTAACATTTTTAATCCAGCAGGCAATCCCCTCAAGCTGTGTAAGTAGTTACAAGAGTTTATTGTTTTAAGGCTGTAACCTGAAAAAGTGGAATTCTGTCCTTATGCAGGGTGAAAATTTGCCCATTTCAGCTGGTCAGTGAATATATCTGATTGCTTGAATGAGCAACATCGTAGATGAGGGGGAATTGCTGATTTGTGTTTAATTTTTACTGCAACCCAGTGCTCTGCTTTCCTAAGAACGGCACCTTGTGAAGGAGGTCAGGGCCCTTAGGGCTGTCTGCAGAAATCATCAGGAGAAAGAGGTTCAGTGAATGAATTTTTTGCCCCCAAGGCTTACTTGTATCCTTTTTTTTTCTCAATATAGTCTCTCTATTTCCACAGGCACTTGTAAGCCTTGCATACTTTCTGGGCTACTTTACAAATAATCATCCTTTTGAACTGGGCAGCCTGATTCCTGCACCAGGCTGTACTGAATGCTGCCTTCTCTTCTATGTGACCATTTGGGACTACCATGACCACACAGCAGGGCTCCTGGTGGTGTGTCTCAGTGTGGTGAGGATGCCTTCACCCCTGCCAGAGGTGCCACCCTGCCTTTGTGCCTCTGGCTTTGATTCTGCACTGGGCGATCCCTGTAGGGTCAGTGGTGCTGTTGTCACATGGGTGAAGAGCTAGGCCTGCAGTCTCAGAACAGGTGACAAACTAGATAAATAATGCTTCTCATTCTACGCAGAAGAAAAGGGCTGCTGGAAGGAGCAGGCCCAGATGTCATCCTGTCTGGGAAACTGGCTCAGGCAGTTGCAAAAGCTTGGAGGAAATTGTGGGAACTTCCTTGCTTTCAAATGACCTGCCTCCGTGTACAGCTCTTCCAGTCTATTATAGATGGCTTCAATACTTAAGCACAAGGTCAAACGCTTCTCCAGAGTGTCCTTCTCTAGGGCTCAAGAGCAGTATTTCTCATATGTGTTTGGAAGTACAATTTGCCTCACATCACCCTCCATGCCTGGCTGCTGTCTAACTAGGGTGCCCTCCTCAGGGCTCGAATAGCTTGCAAGACCTCAAGGTCACCCATTGAAGAGCTTGTCCACTTGTTGCTCTCTCTGACCTCCCACTGAGCCCTTTTATGAGATCAAGGTTGCAATATCTTTACTTAAAAGAAGATGATTTTTGAGTTCTCTATGTATATAACCAGATCTCCTTTAATCTCCTGCTGTGCCCAGCCTCCAGGATGGGCCGGAGTCATGACATCCTCAGCTGAAGCGTGCATCATACTGAAAAAGCTCTTTCCATTGCCATGTGTCATTTGCTCACTTGTCAGTTTCAGGAGGTACCTTCTGTTCCCATCTTAGGTAAAACAGGAACCGAACATTCAGTTCTGGCTCAACCAGAAAAGTGAGAATATCTGTGCCATCATCTGCTGTGGTTTAGCCTTGGTAACAAATATATTTAGGAAAAAAAGGACAGAAAAGTAGTGGTTTAATTTGTATTTTTGTCTCTTTCTAGGTGATGAAGTGCATTGTAGAGGTCATCTCTGATACTTTATCGAAGCCAAACCCCCTGCCGATCAGCGAAGAATGCCTAGAAACACTCAGAGGAGGTACAGGCTCAGATTTAACACAAAAGAAGATCTGGGGTTAAAAAGAACACAAGCAGGGGCTGGTCCTGCCCTGACACACCCTCTAGTGCCTGACAAGGGGGCCCTGACACACTCACCTTCCTCATGGTTACCCCACTGGGCTGCACCAGGCTCCAGGGATGGAGCTGCTGCTCAGCCCAGGCTGTGCATCGCACCGGGACCATGGCCAGTGGAGGCACTGGGTGATACGAACCTGCCTGGTTTTCATGGGACCTTCCTGTCATCTTAACCACATGGTTAAGAGATGTGGCAGCAAATTAGGCGAGGGCAGAGAAAAGAGTAAACGAAGAGGGAGGTGGCATTTGGGGTTCTTTTTTTTTCCTTGGGGTGGGTCGAACTTGTTTTTGATCACCTTCTGTACCAAGTCTCCCCTGTTGCAGATGAACGAATCATTTCCATCCTTCGCCACCAAAATTTACTGAAGGAACTTCAGGAAATTGCTGCTCAAGGTACAGTGTCACTGTAGTTATTTGGGAAGAGGGGTTTCATTTGTTGTAGCCCCTTGCACAGTTTTGTTTGGGTGTGGGTTTTTTTTACGTTAATTTGACATCATATAAATGAGCCCTAGGAAATATAGTTCCAGGACTTCCAGTAGAGACTGGGTGAGTAGGGACATGAATCTTGCTTATAATTACTCCAATATGCATCTGAGGATTTAAATGACTATCCATGAAACTTGGTGGCAATGTAGAGTACAGGCATTTTTGGGGTGGGAGAACCCTGAAAGGAAATTATTGTAGTTTAATAACCAACCACCAGCTCCCAAACTAAAATGAAAGACAAGAAATACTTCACTGTTCGTGCAGCTGAAGTTTAGCACTAAAGGCCGGTGTGGCAGAAGGTAAACCCCACTGAGCATCAAGTGGGACTTGCACCTAAAAGACCCCAATGAAAGCGTCCTTGAGCTCATGGCAATTTTCCTTTGGCTTCCTTAGGTCGAATGCAAGTTTCTTTGGTTTGGAGAGGTGGAGGCTGGTCTCACCATGGGTCAATGTGGAAGCAGCAGCAGCACAGAGCTGTGGAAAGGGGTGTGCATGGGGGAAAAGGGCGAGTCTCAGGTCCCCAGAGCTGGTGTGCAGGTCCCAGACAAGGCTGCTTCAAAGCCAGTGCAGGTCCCCCTACCTGGATGCCTCGGTTGAGGCTGCAACAGGGCTCTCCCTAGAATGCAGGGAGAGCAGCTCCTGGCTTTCCCTGCTCCGTCTCTCTGGAGTAACCCAGCTGGCAGTCCTCCCTCACCAGGCCATCCCTGTGCCCTGCTCCTGTGCAGCATGGCTGCCAAGGATGGCTGGGAGACTGTCCCACCAGACTGCTATCAGAGCAGGGAAGCCACAGAGGCAGTGGGGAGAAGGGAGAGGGAAAATTCAGGAAGTCAAGATTAGGAGAGAGCCCCATGTAACTCCTGAAGCAATAGTTAATTAAATGCCTAGATGTCACTGATGGAGGGGCCAGCTGGGCAGTGATCCCAGACAGGCTCCATGGATGCTCTGATGATCCAGAAGAAAGAAACCTGGACCTCTTCAGTGAGCTGGGATGCTGCTGCCCAGGCATGCTGGAGTTGGGAGGGGGAGCGCTTAGCCATTGGGCAGGCTGTGCCATCCAGCATGGAGTCCATGTGAAGGGACTTGTTTCACAGAGGTACATCTCTCTCTGCTCTTTCCTTGCTTGAGCCCATCACACCTTGCTGTCCTGGAGTAACATAAACTTTAGTCTTCAGATCACGATGACTGGGGATGGGAGAGTCATGTAGCCCAAAGGAAAAGCAAAGGTGTTTATCTTGGTTTCCTCTGTGCTGGCTGCAGCTGGTCCTGGCCGAGCTGGAGAGCCCACACCAGCCAGCTCTGCCCCTCATAAGGCCAGAGAGGACTGAGCTGATAGCATTGGCTCCTGCCTTTGCATCAAGGCATAGAAGCAGAGCATGAGCTGGGTTAGTTATCTTGCTTGGCTTGCAGATCCTGTTGGGATGGGGCTGCCTGGGGAGTGCTGGTTGCCAGGACAGCTGCCCTCTGACCTCCAGCTCATGCTACCTTCAGACACCTTCCTTCAGGGTGTTGCTTTTGTCAAGCTGGCTCCATAATCCCAGTGGCTAAGGTGTGGGGCCTTGGAGACCCGGACTATTCTCAGAGCTCAGAGCGGGAACGAATGCTGCTTTTTCGTCCTGGGGATGGCAGAAGGGCAACGTTCCGGGGACAGAGGACCCCACAACCAGGCTGGGGGGCACAGAGGCTCTCAGTGCTCACCTTAACAGAGATACATGGGCAGCATCTGGCAGGAGACAACTTTTATCCTTCAATGCTCCGATGCTTTAGTCTTTTGTTGGCCTCAATGTGCTGGAGTTCAGCATCTCTTATTTCCTAGCTCTCCATCAAAATTAGTTTTCCTACCAGCCCTGCTTCTCTGTTTGTTTAGAGACCTTTTTCTTTCCTGCAGAAGATGTTTTTGATGGTGGCTTGGTTTCTGCAGCTGATTCACATATCCTCCAGTCTCACTTCTCCTCGCAGCTCCCCTTTGGCAGATCTGTCTATTATAGAAAATATGCATATGATTGTAAAGGGCTACTTTCTGAAACACAGGAGGGATTGTTGCCTTTCCTTACTTTTTGTTACTTGACACAGGTGCCAATGAGAGAACTCAGCAGCAGAAGAAAAACAGTGGCTTCGAAGATGAACTTTCTGAAGTCCTTGAAAGTCAGAATGACAAGAACAAGCAGAGAGGTCAGTGTCAGCCTCCCCCCCAGGAAATCGAGGTCAGGCTGTAAACGAGGATGTTCTTTCTAATAGCCTTGATATGTCCATCTGCTTCTCATTTAGGCATCTTCTTTGATGCTACCGCTGACACACACAAGCAACTCGTGTTTGCTTTGTTCTTATTTACCAGCTTAAACGACATGTCATTTCTGAGCTATAGTAACTGGTGATGGTCAAGTTAGCAAACTGATCCTGATCTCTCCCACCTGGCTGCCAATGCCAGCACTCACTCCTAGTGCTTAAAATGAGTCACAGCCAGGGAAACCCCGTACTGAAACTCAGTGATATAGGCAAGGGTGATCTGGATCTGCTCCTGCCACCCTTATTTCCAGGTATCCAAGATGCTGGTTATGGGTCTCTGAAGGGAAAATTGAGCTTGGGATACGCACAGTGCACACACCCACACAAAACACCTGTATCCTGGAAAGGTGATGTTCAGCTGGGATTTCCCCTTGTCACTAGGTTTCTGTGGCCTGGCTAGAGACAGGCAGTGTAGTGGAAAGGAGGGTTCAGCCCCTTCCCTCTTCCACATCATGAAGACACAATGCCAATGTGGGATGAGATGGTTTCTTGTCCAGAAGTAGCACCCCTGCAGAGGGTCTTGAGTGGGCTCTGGGGTGTGTGGCTGAGCCACAGCAGTGCAGCGATGCCACAACATCAGCCCAAAGCTCCCCAAAGCCATAAGGAGTGATACCCTACTGCAGCCAGCACAGTCAAATCCAACGGAGAGGACGGGTGGCTCTGGCTGCCCCTCCCACCAGGGCAGACTCAAACTTCTTGCTCCAGCAGTGTGGAGACTGCATGAGGATGAAGCATGGCACGCTGGGCCATCCAGGCCCACAGGCAACCCAGTAGTCACCAACCCTGTGTGACCAGCTCTCTGCATCCCCACACCCTGGTGTGCTCTTCAGCCCAGCTTGGGGCTGCACTTGCCTTTCCTTACCCATCTGGCTTTTCCCACTGCTCTTTAGCCTCCCTCTCCCCATCTTTTCTTCTGCAAAGTGACGTCTATGACTAATTATGTTAAAAGAGGTCAGTCTGTGACATGAGCAGGAGCAAATACCCAGCTCACATTAAGGTCCTGCTGAGCAGTTGTTTTGCAGGCACGGAGCCAGCCCCAGCTCCCTCCACAAACGGCGCTGGCTCCCTCTTCAACCCAGTGGGAGACATAAGGATGTGAGGTTAGCGCAGTGCTCAGCTCAGAGCAGGGAGAGCTGTGAAAGCGCTGTGTTACACTCCTAAATCCTTTCATTTTATGTGAGATCTAGTTTCATGCGGGGCAAGTTTGTTGCTGGCACCTCAAGAGGTGGTGATGAGGACTGTGCCACAGCAAAGCACTTCGGCATATGTTTAACTTCAGCCTCGCGAGTCTCTCCGGCAGAGCAGGCACCAGTGAGAGCTGGAACGCAAGCATATGTTGAAGTGACTTGCAAAAGGATCCACAGGCTGGTTAAGCAGATTGCTGAGCGGGACTGAAGCTCCCTAAGAAATGCTCGGGCTTCGCTGGTTGTGAAATGAGCTCTCAGGAGAGGTGTTGCTTCTTGCTCCTCCCTCTGCAGATGCCACAGGGAAGCGCCCTGAAGAGGAGCAGCCCACGGGGTCCCTGGCTGAGCTGGCAGCACAGAAAACCCAGCAAAATGGAGAATCAAGAGAGGATGGAAAAAACAGCCTGGAGGAGAGGGAGCCCAGGCCACGGGATGCCAACCCTGGAGAGAAGGAGGATCAGGAGGAAGCAGAGAGTAATGAGATTGGGGGTGCAGAGGAGGCCCAGAGGGATGAAGCTTTGGACAACCACATCAGCAAAGACCTCAGTGAGGATGAGCGGCAGCAGCGAGGGGATGAAGAGGAGCAGCCCAGAAGCTCCAGAGACAGCCTGGAGCTCGAGGACGAGGGAGAGCAGCCATCCAGACAGAGCCACGAGCCAAGCAGGGAGGTGGCAGGGGAGCGTGTGGAGCGGGAGGATGACAGAGGAGACGATGCTGCAGAGGAGGACCCTACTGAAGCAGAGAGGTCACTTGATTTGGCTGAGGAGGATGAGGAGGCTGAGGAGATGCAGGGAGACGACAGTACGTATCCTGATGACTGCACAGATACCTACCCAGGGTGAGCTGAGAGCACTGAGACAGACCATAAGAGGCTTTAAAGCCTAAAAGTTCAGGCAGGTGCTTATGGGGCTTACAGAAATATCCCTGCTGAGAGCCACTCAGATCCCCCCGCAAGCACCCGATCACGTGGGCCCACGCACAGTGGGTAGCACAGGCCCAGCAGCTGCCTCACTGCCTGCTGCTCAGCTTTCATAGCACCCGCGGACAGCTAATTTCTTTTTCTTGAACTTCCTACGTGGTTTTTGACTGCTGCTGCTAAGCCCTGTAGTGACACAGTGAAGTGAAAGTGGGTATTTCCAGAATCCTGGGAAAACAGGTCCCAAGTCAGGAAGTCCACCTTCCATCGCCCCGAAGGCTCGGTTCAAAGGTAGAGCATAACCAAGTTGACACTGGTGCTCACTGTTGTGTTTAATGCTCTTTCAGATAACGATGATGCTCTGGGATTTGGCAAAGATGGGCGGAGCTCTGAGGAGGAGGAAGAGGAAGAGCAGCCCCGGGCACTGAGAGGAGGAAGGCATCGCCTGGAGGATGAGGGGATGCAGGAGGAGGAGGAGGAGGACACCTTCCAGCCCAGGGATGCCAAAAGCGAAGAGATGGAGGAGGAGTCCTCCAGGGAGTGGGAGGACTCTAAGAAGTGGAACAAAATGGATGAGCTGGCCAAGCAGCTGACATCAAAGAAGCGCATGGATGAAAATGATAGTGGGGAAGACCCAGATAGGTCCATGAAAATGGCATTCAGATCCCACAAGTATGACTTCAGTAGTCCAGAGGAAGACGTGAGAAGGTTGTGGAAGCATCACTCGAAGGAGGACAGCAGTGAAGGAGGCTTCCCTCTTGCTCCCCTGCCCGAAGAAAAGAAGGATGAGGAAGGCAGCGCTAACAGGAGAACGGAGGTTGGTGTACGTAAGGCTTAAGAATAAATCTCACTCGGTTATTACTCGGGAATCCAAACTATGCTTGGCAATGTGGATGGTACCTTGGCATTATGCAGCCAGCATCAGTTCTCTGTGACATTAAGGAGATGCCTTGTGACCTTTTAGCCATTCAGCCTTAGATATTACTGAGATTCGCACCCATCTGTTCCTTTGGTTCTTATCCTTGTTTTAGTGACTAGAGCATAAATGCTCCCTGCCCAAGAAAATCTTAAAAATGAGACTGGACTTTTGCACTGATCTGTGCTGGATATGGTGACGAGAGCTATCTCTGAAGCCAACATGAGTTGAGTCTTTTGTCCCAAGGTCCCTTCAAGTCAAAGGGAAGGCCTTCCCTGGCTCAGGGATGGAATGAGTAGTGTAGGGCCTCTGACAGAGGCAAATCAGTGTGCAACCATGGTGAGAGAGCTGAGGCATTGGAGTGGAAATGGTTGATGGATATGTGAATACATCTGAGCCATGCTTCCAAAGTCAGACACCTCCTTGCCTGGTACCTCGTGTGATGCTATGTGGTAGCTCAGCACTGCCCTGGCAGCCAGGAGTGGTGGTTTCACCTTTGCACTGAGGCCCAGCTCCAGGCGTAGATGTTTATTTGGGATAGCGCAGGGGGCTGGATGGCAGGGCCAGGCATGGGCTCTGCGGGTGTTTGTTCAGGGAAAACCATGACCAGTTGCCTGAGAACAGACTGGGGCAGCAGGTGAGAGGAGCCAGTTTGCTGCAGCTCTCTTGCTTCCAAAACACCTCTCATGCCTTAGTTACGCACCAAAACATTGCCCAAAGGCTGCCTATCAGCATCCCCTGCTGAGAGGGCATCTCCAGTCATGTTGGTTCAAAGCAAAGCCAAACATCTCAGCTCAGAGCAGGGAGGCAGTGGGTGACAGCTGAGAAGGTGGCCTCTGCCCCATCTGCCTCCTCACCACCATCTGCTCATGTGCCAGGTCTCTCTCCCAAGAAGGCTGCTCCTCACCTGCCCCAGTGGCTCTGGGGATGCACCTTGTCCTCGAGGTGGTGGGCTCAGCGTCTGAACAGGGACTGGGAATGAGGTTGCTGAGGTCAAAAAACTGCTGTGTTTACAGTTGCGACAAGACTTTTTAGTGTTTTTTAAAAAAACTAGATCAGGGTCCCTAGGAGACAGTGAGGAGGCATCAGACCAGGCAGCTGGTGGTGAGGGAGGGGAAGGCAGAGGCTTTGGCTCTGCCAGAGCAGCTGCCACCCAAACCCCTCTCCTGGCTTTTGAGCCGTGTGGGTGCGTGGCTTGGCTGGTGAGGCCAGTAGTGGCACGGCTGGGGCTGTGAGTGCTGGCCCCTGCTCTCGCCAGGGTTCAGCACACTGTTGTAGCCAGAGCCTTCCCAGGGGCTGAACCGAGGGCCCTGCGGAGGGGCAAGGATTAATTTTTCCCTATTCAGGAAAATAGCTCAGGGATGAGAAAAAAGACCTTTTTTTACATACTTTCTTTATTTTTTTTTCATACCAGCCAGCTGCAGTGCAGGCCAGTGGTTCATCGTCAGTCTGCGCCTGGCAGCTGCTGCAGGCAGTGGCATGGCTCCGCTCCCTCTGCACGGGAGGGGGGTTGTCATCTCCGCTCTGTTGGCAGGAAAAGGCCCTTTTAGCACTGGCAGCCCTAAGTTTCCTCCCGCAGAGCCTGCTGCTCTGCTGGGCCGGCGCGTGATCCGCAGCGACCCCAAGGTGACACAGCTGTGAGGGACAGGCAGGGCTGGGGCTGACAGCAAGACAGGGCCATTCGGGTATGACCAGAGCTCAGGCAAAGTCATGCATTTATGATTTTGGGTACCTGTGCTAAATAAAATAGCTTTAGGTGACAGTATAGATGCACAAGAGCTGCTATAGGAAGGCCACCAAGTGATGGGCAGCTTGAGCCTTTAAACTGATGGTTTCCTCAGTTGCTATGCTCCCAAACAGGAAAGCCGCTTCTGGTACTGGAGGAGCATGAGGACACCCAGCGTGGTGTGGGGAGAAGGGACACCGCTGTGCCCTCCACAAGCGGGGCATATGCTGCACTTGCTGTGGGCATCCATGCCTGTCCCACTTTGACAACACCACCTCCACGCAGGTGCCCCATGTTGTTTGGCAGTGCCTGCCCTGGCCTCGGCTCCAAGGTGGCCACCTCCCTCCAGCCCCACACTCTGGAGGGAGAGGTCCATTGGGGGCTGCCCAGCCTGGGAGGGGGGGGGCGAATTTTTTTGGCAGCTGCATGTCTGGTCCCATCACCAGCTACAGTGATTTAACATTAGGACAGGACTAATTAACTAACTAACGTTAGTTGTGCACAGACATCTGTCCAAAGGCGCAAATGTGGGAGTGGGCTGAGGGGACGGGGCAAGACATGGCTGTGCTGGTGCCGCCACTGACAGCCGACTCCGGGCAAGGCTTTCTGTGGCTGTGGGGGTGAGGGCTGCCCGGCCGTGGCTGCGGGACTGATGCATGTCCTGGGCTCTTGTTGCAGGACCAGGAGCTGGAGAGCCTGGCCGCCATCGAGGCCGAGCTGGAGCGTGTCGCCCACAAGCTGCATGAGCTGAGGCGAGGCTGAGGGCCCCAGCTCGCTCCGCACAGGTGAAAGCCACCGCCACCGCCCTCCTCCCTCCCCACCATGTTTTCATTTCCTGATTTAAAAGCAATTAAGCAGGAGCAGAAGCATCACACCTAGGAAGCCGACCTCACTAGCGCCCAGGCCTGCCTCCCTCGCCACAGTGCTGTTCCCATCGACGCTTCTTCACCTCATGCTCCCCTCTCCGCACAGGTGCCCACCGCTTGGCCGGGCACCGCTGGGCGCGAAGCGCGATCTACATGTGTATTTTCTGTCTGGGTGGGGGTTTTTTCCCTCTTTTTTTTAAAAGACAAGACAGCTTTCTAGAAAGTTCTCCTTCCACCGGTAGTTTCACTGGGTAAAAAACTGCAATAACTTGTTATCTTTTGATTAAAAGCTGAGAACTCTGACTGTAATATATTCTATATAAAAAAATTATCTAAGGAAAAATAAAACTGCAGGGGGTTCCTTCCTTTGTTTTGGCAGCTTCACTCTCGGTCCTCAGTGCACTGAAGGGCATGTACGGTCCCGGTGGAGAGGAGGGGGAACAGCAGCCTCCCCTCAGAACGGGCACGTTATGATGGTGGTTCCCTCCCTGCCCCAGCTCCATGCTGCTGCCTGCTGAGGCCCGGTCTGGAGGACACCTCCCTGAGGTCCCGAGCCCTGCGGGGCTCTCCTGCCCGCCCAGCCCCGCGGGGGTGTCCCGGGGGCTTCAGTGGGACGTGGGTCACACGCGTAGGTCATGGATGAACACAGGGTTGAGCAGAGAAAAAACAGTTTGGAAGTTCAAACACTGTGGCAAGACTTAATCAAGTCAAGCTACTTGGACAACACACGAAAGGGTTAAAAAAAAAAAAAAGTAACAAATTTTGTGAGGAAAACTACCGGTCTGCGTTTCCCCAGAGGTGAAGGGTGGTCTGGAGGGAATGCCCCACCGGTGCATCGCTGGTGGGAGCTGTGGTGGTCTGCTGGCAGCACACCAACAGGCAGACCCTTCCTCATCCTTTGGGCTTCAGGCCATGTGCCGGCTGGAGGACCTGGTGGTGCCTGGGCTGGGGAAGCTTGTCCCAAAAATCTCTGAACATCCATCATAAGATTTTAGACTTCCTACATGTATCAGCAGGAGAGGAAAAGAGCATCCCACTGCCAGGGCTGTATCTCACCTCTCAGCTCAAAGCTCCATTGTCTCCCACCACCTGCAGCCCACAGAGTAGCTGAGATGCTCAGAGAACGGCCACCAGGCTCGACATATTCCTTTATTCTGCTAAAAACATCAGAGGCGTTGGCCTGCAGTGTGCAGGGTCCCCTGGGTGCAGGAGGCACTGTGTGTCCAGAACTGTCCTCCACCCACCAGGAGAGCTTCCCCAGGGAGGGCTGGGGGAGCTGCTGAGTGGGCAGTGCCCCTCGCCCCCAGCCCCGGCAGCCACACAGCAGCAGGAGGCAGCAGTGAGGGTGAGGCATGGCCCAAAAGCTGCTCCGGCACAGGGTGTGAGCCTGGCTGGGAAAAGTACTCCGGGGTGAGGTGCAAGTCTTCCAACCCCATGCCAAGCAGACGGCACTCTCATTAACGTCAGGGAAATGCGCACAGGAACAGAAGTGAAACTGAAGTTGTTCCACAGGAATAGTACTAAAATGTCAGTTATTAGGGAGTTAATCCAGCTGTAAAAGTCACATTTTACACACTGATCTTCATTTAAATTTTAATTTGAATATGGTACTTAGTTTCTCTCTTTTTTTTTGTGGCAGACTCTGCTGGTAGCATCACCCATACAAGACCTTGCAAACTCAGATCTATATGTCACAATAAATTCACAGAAACCTTCAGCCACCCACCCCACCCCAATTCATCCCTGCCAAAAGAAAAAAAACCCCAGACTGAAAACCCAACCCAATCCCAAGAAACCAAACAATTCACCATAGGAACGCCACCATCTCCAAAGGAGTTAAACAGGTTTTTTCACAAAGGATGGTGGCAGCAGACAGAATCAGCCTACTGCTGCTGCAAAATCAACGAGAGGAAAAATAATGTTACTGGATGGAGCTACTACAAATACAGCCTGAAGCGGAGAATCAAATAATCACAAACATTTGGGACCTGAGGACTTTCTTCAAAGAGAAAGATGGAGCTCAAGGCGTGAGTGCCGGGCCTGGGAGGATGCCTCACCGGCTCCGAACCGCTGACCCTCCGACTGGCTGTACCTCTGCGCCGCAGTGTCTCTGCTCCCGGCCGCTGGGCTCGGCCTTGGGGCTGACACTGCGCACTGAGCCCCAGGCAGTGGTGACAGGAGCGCCCTTGCTCAGCGTGCTTGTTGCTTAGCAAAACGTAATGCTGCCGGGTGAGATAGCTATCTTTCCTGCACTAGCCAAAACAGGGTCCTGATTAAAAACCCTGCCAGGTTTTAAGAAATCAAGAATTCCCTGTCCAGGATGATGAAGGAAGAATCAGCTCAGAAACCTATGCTATGAATAAATGCTTAAGTACAGCAGTAGCCTGAATCCCAGTGATGTTTAGCCATGTTACATAGTATAAGACATAAATAGCCAACTTCCCACTAGTCCTAGAAATCAGAACAAAACCAAACCAGCCTTGCTCATTAGCAGTGCTGGTACAAGGAGGTCCCAAGTAACTGCAAACAACTGCACTGTGAAAATCAAATTCTCTTGAAAATGGGCTCACCCCAATGAGCTGCTCACCTCGCTGCCCTGTCTGCTCATAAAGAGAAAGCAAAGTAGAGCTTGTTGTAAGGCATTTATTTTCATTACGTGTCGGAAAGGGACAATTCTGTCTTCAAAACAATTACAGAGATAATGCCACAACACCTACTGCATATTGCTTTACTGTTGAAACCAAAACATTGTCCAAAACAGGTGCTTGGCAAATGAAAAGAAAATGAACATATTACCATTGAAATCAATGCTGTTAGATGAAAGCACCATCTTCATTGTCAGATCTGATCAGTCATGCAACTGAAGATGCCAAAAGCAGTATTTTTGTTTTTTACAGTAAGCCATGATCTTTTAAGGGTTTATATCATTCTACGCAAATTTAAGTACAAAATCGGAATTATGTTTCAGAAATGATCGTGAACCAGGCTGAAGCGAATCACAAGACACACTTGTTAACACTGTACAGCTGGATTTGAACGCAGATATCGATGACACACAAAATGGTCCCAAGATTGAGCCATGCTTAGGTGGGGAGCGATGCTGGAGAGTGAAGGAGAATATCCAACACTGTTCACACTCAAGAGGGCCAGTTCTCTCAAAATTGCTGGGATCCCAATAAATTGTTGCTACTCCATTTTAAGACTGACTGCATTTTAGTACGTGGTTCTCACAAGGGTATACACAAGCTGTATTGAATACTGAATCAGAAATAAATAATAAAAGATACATCTAATACATCTTTTATTTTTAATTTTTTTTTACAGCACTGACTTTACAAGAGGATAAACAACTCATTTTTAGGGGCTGCTAACATCTCAAACAAAGAAGTCGCTATTTTATACTCATATAGTCAATCTTTTAATAACTTTATATGGTATATATGACTTTTCACGCAAAAAACGTTAGAATAATTTATATCTAAAAACTACTGTGTAAAGAACAAAGGAAGAAAAAAAATGTGGGTTTCCTTAAAAAGAATGGAAGAGGAAGACCTGATTTTCATGAACTCCATTCAGCTTCAGCTATTTCTGGAGTTTCAAGAGATTTCCAGGCCATCAACAAAAACATTCCAACACATCAGGAGCCCTCTGCAAACTCATGGCATGCTGGGCAAGGTCACCTGCTAATGAGCTCATGTGGCCCACAGACGTCTGCTAGCATCAGCCCCAGCGGATTCAGGGTAAGAAAGGTGGAGAGAAAGAGAAAACATCTCCCCAGATTGCTATTAAAAAACTAAGAGCAAAATTCTGGACCACTGGTATCAAGCTGTCCACTGGCCAGGATTCTACTCCCAAGCCCTACTTCTCCTCACCCTTCTTGTGCATCACAGACACAGGACATTTTCTTGCAGTGGATTTTTTTATTTCCACAGGAAAACTGCCTCAGCAGCTGGGACGGACCAGCCCCCAACGGCCACCTGCAGGCAAGCAGCGAGAACTATTCTGAGCCTTTGCTTGCTACAGAAGCTATTGTGCTTGTGTTGCTGAGGAATTGCTCCAACATAGCCATTTATACCTGGATCCTCTCAAACTTCAACAATCTCTAATAATTTCTGTGGCCATGTAAACATGACAGAATCCATGGAGGATCTGAAACTCATCTGGTCAAAAGCTCAAGTTCTGATGGCCTGGATCCCTACGGAGTGAACAGGGAAAGGAAAGGTAGTGAAGATGTGGAAAGTACTCTTCTGGAGGTTACATTTCTCTGAAGTAGCTATTAAAGCAATATTACAAATAAAATCAGCAATGTGATCTGCAATGGTGTGTCTTGTTTATCTGTGAAAACGAGAGGAGATTATATTAAAGGAAATACTTTAATCTACACAAAGCATTTTCATGTACTCCTAATGACAAAACACACAGTTGCAACACCATAAAGTAATTGTATACTGAGTAAAGAAATCGATACATCTCTTACTAAAAAGGAGAGAGGAAAACAAAATCAGCAGGGTAATGCAAGTGAACTCCTGCAAGTGTGCACATGGGGAGACTGATACAAACAAAAAATAGACTCTATTCACTAAAAAAACAAAATCCAGGATTTTCTGCACAGCTGTGGCAGGCAAGGCTGCAAGCTAGTGTGAAAAACCTGACTCATTGTCACTGCTGCCAACACAAAGATTTTGGGAAGCCAGTGTTAGTCTAAGAACTGATAAGCCTGGATTTTGTGTTATTGGATGGAAACGGAAAAAGTATTTTTCCTTTGTTTCACTCTTTTCTTGCCAGCCCATTCAAACACCTCTGGCCTCATTTGTTCTGCTACCTTTGGACTGTATCTTGCCTCTGTTACCAACCTACTACTCCACCTGGTTGTTCCCTGGCTGGATACAGCTGGCA